GTGAACAGGACAACAGGTGTAAGGAAACGTGTCGAAATTTTTCCACCCGCCGGGAATCGAACCCGGGCCCTCCGTGTGTGAAGTGGGAGCTTTAGCCACCAGGCCACCGGGCCACCTAAAGTGTCCTGGTTCGATTCCTGGAAAGGGCTGTCTATGTTCCCTCATCAGTAAAATAGGTACCTGGGTGTTAGTGGACTGGTGTGGGTCATATCCTGGGTGTTAGTGGACTGGTGTGGGTCACATCCTGGGACAAAACTGATCTAATTTGCGGGAAATGCTCAGCATAACAAGCGACTTTCTATATAGTAGTATGTCATTGATGTCAGGTATGGTCTGTATACCTTATACATGTACTGGTATACCTTGTACATGTACAAGGTATACAGAACATAGCTGACATCAATGACATACTACTATATAGAAAGCCGCTTGTTATGCTGAGCATTTCCCGCAAATTAGGTCAGTTTTGTCTCAGGATGCCACCCACACCAGTCCACTAACACCCAGAATGCCACCCACACCAGTCCACTAACACCCAGGATGCCACCCACACCAGTCCGCTGACACCCAGGTACCCATTTTACTGATGAGTGAAAAGGGACAAGCACAGCAGGTGTCTTACAGAAACACATCCCTAATGTTTTCCATCCGTACCGGAGGAGATTCAAACTCCTGACCTTAGTGTGTGAGCTGAGTGCGCTACCGATCGAGCTAGGTAGATATGGGGTCAATTTAGCAAATATATGACATAAGTAGAAAGTTACTAAATAAAATAAAGAGTTTTTGAGAAAGACTTAAGTTAGGATATACTGGAGAAAAGGGAATTAGTCTCCCCTGCAAGTTGGACTTAATGACGGCTGTGATTCTCCATAGCTGTTGTAATTATTCATAGACTGGCTTGTAAAGGACGTCAATGTTGACGTGCTAAGAAAAGTTGATTAATAAAAACATCAGTTAAAAAAGAGTCCTTTGACATAGGACTTTGATATAGTCCTTTGATATAGGACTTTGACATAGGACTTTGATATAGTCCTTTGATATAGGACTTTGATATAGGACTTTGATATAGGACACTGATATAGGACTTTGAAGAGATGCTGCAGAAGTTGGTGGAGTAGTTTGGAAGAGTGTGCAAAAGTAAAAAATATCAATGGACTGAGTATCGAGAAAAGAAAAAACGTAAACACAGTGGAACGTTATCAAACTAGAGTTAAGAAGTGTCGATATAGTGTATTTGAGAGTAGACACGTTGGTACATTTGTCTTAAAAAAGATTAGGTGAAGTTGAGAATGAGTTTTAGGATGGTGATGGTAATGGTAAGTATAAGAGCAATGTGTGGTTTAATTATTATGTAGAGTGTGTGGAAAATAATGTATTTTCAGGAAAAAATACAGTGTATTTTTTATGTTAATTAGTGTAATACATTATATTTAATAAAATTTATGTTATAAAAAATGGGAAATTCTGCGCCTGTGCAGAAGAGACTCGCCATTGTTGTTTGAATTGGATAAGAAACGTTAGTGAATAATCGGAAGAATTTTCGTCGCTCTAGAGATTAAATTGGGTTTACACCTCTCAAATAGGAGCCGAAATTGTTGGATGTGCATTCCTGCATAACTTGAGATATCAGACGACTGGACAAGACAGCTCCAGGAACCTCAGATAAGCTATCTAAATTTGTGTTATAATTCTGGCCAGCATTATCTTCATAAATTTAGTTAGAATGAGGTTTCTGAGTATGATACATATTAATCTCCAGTCAAATTGGTGAGTGATATTAAGATTTATTTTCCTTCTGTTATATAAATGTGTATAAGTATCATTAATTTTAATATACAGTCCACTAATTTTTATATTTACCGGAATTCCTGGTGATGTACATTTCATTTGTAATTAATAAGTCCAGAGCAACTTGTGGATATGACAGTTGTAGGTATCGAAGGGGGACATTTTTGTGACCTAGGTGTCCCAAATTCCTACTTGTCTATGTAACTTTGATAAATAATAATTATGTGTTACCATTTACTGGTATATACATTATGAGTTACCTCCAGATAAATGCAATTTTCCACAGAGTGGAAAGATTGAACCATGGTCCTAGTGCTGGCAGGTCCAGCGCTTTACTGTTGAGCTATAAAGGAAAGATTCAGAAACAGTCTAATTTCATGTCTCTGTCAGCAACACAATCTCTGAACATCGATTCTCACGTCCATCTTTCAGTTAACTCGTTAACTGTCGTTTATTACGATTAAATCGACTTTATTATGTAGAGAATTAGGAGAGCAGAAATTCGGAAAATGGTGTAGAGTTAGAGGAGAGAGAGAGAGAGAGAGAGAGAGAGAGAGAGAGAGAGAGAGAGAGAGAGAGAGAGAGAGAGAGAGAGAGAGAGAGAGAGAGAGAGAAATAGATTTCCAATGACCAAGACCGGGTTCAAATCCAGTATGGACGGAGGGGCAGGGATAGTGCCAGGTAAGTCTGGAGGAACATTATGTTGTCTTCCTGACTATAGTGCTCATCACCTGCTGCTAGAAAGAGTATTACGAACCTGGTCGTAATGGCCTTTAGCAAACATAACTCAACAATAGTATATGGCTTGTATTTTCCTTCACCAGATATAAACTGCAAGTACATTGCAAGTACATTACATGCATGTACATTTATATACACTCTGTACAGCAGGGGAATAGTAAGTGTACACAAAGGTGACAAAAAATGGCAAAAGTAGAAGCGAGAGAATGCACAGTGCTCAACCAGCAACCCAGGCAAGTCTGTCAATTCGCCTGGCACAAGTGAACCACGTTACTTGTCTTTGATTTACTAAACAAAGGTACTGATTTAACGATGGGTACCCTATTGACCAGTAAACCCTTAGCACCCAGTTTGCTGGTTGGGAGGCAATCTATATGGAAGTGTAACGTACATCGAATAAAATGTAATATTCTCGTAGCATCTCACAATGAGGGAATGATTACCTCATCTTCCTCTCTTCTCCTTAATATATTTCTGTTATGTAATTGTAGTGTATTTGATAAAGCCATTGGATGGCAAAACATCTATAATTAAAGACACTAAGTTGATGCACATGTGACTGATTCATGTTATCTTACACTCCAACAGCACGTCCAGTTTTAAATTTGTCTCCATTCGCTCCTATATAACACGCTCACGCACGCTTGCTGAAAGTCCAAGCCAGTCACACACAAAACCTCCTTTACCCCCTCCCTCCAACCTTTACTACTTGGAGTTTACCTGGAGAGGATTTCGGGGTTAACGCCCCTGCGGCCCTGTCTGAGACCAGGCCTCGTGTCGGATCATGGTCTGATCAACCAGTCAGTTACTGCTGGCCACACGTAAACCGACGTACGAACCACAGCCTGGCTGGTCAGATACTGACTTTAGGTGCCTGTCCAGCACGTTCTTAAAGACAGCCAGGGGTCTATTGATAATCCCCTTTATGTATGCTGGGAGGCAGTTGAATAGTTTTGGGCCCCTGACACTTACTGTGTTGTCTCTTAGTTTACTCGTGGCGCCCCTGTTTCTCACTGAGGGAAATTGCATCTCCTGCCGAGTCTTTTGCTTTCGTATGGAGTGATTTTCGTGTGCAAGTTTGGTACTAATCCCTCTAGGATTTTCCAAGTATATATTATCATGTATCTTTCTCGCTTGTGTTCCAGGGAATACAAATCAAGGGACTTCAACCGTTTCCAGTAATTCAGTTGCTTTACCATACTTATGTGTGCTGTGAAAGTTCTCTAAAGGTTTTCCAGGTTAACAATTTCGCCTGCCATGAAGGGGATAGTTAGTGTACAGCAATATTCCAGCCTAGAGAGAATAAACGATTTGAAGAGAATCATCATAAGCTTGGCGTCCCTAGTTTTGAAGGTTCTCATTATCCATCTTATCATTTTACCATTGTTGTGGTCTTTGAAGGTGAGATCCTCTGACATTATCACTCCCAGGTCCTTCACATTACTTTTTCACTCTATTGTATTGTTAGAATTTGTTGTATATCCTGATACAGATTTAATTTTCTCAAGTTTTCCATAACTGAGAAGTTGAAATTTCTCTTCATTGAGCTTCATATTGTTTTGAGTGGTCCATTTGAAAATTTTGTTGATGTCCACTTGGAGTCTCGCAGTGTCTTCTATGGATGTCACTGTCACGGCAGTTCGGGCGTCATCCGCAAAGGAAGTCACGTAGCTATGGCTTATATCTCTGTCTTTGTCAGATATAAGGGCGAGGAACGGGATGGGAGAGAGTACTGTGCCTTGTGGAACACAGCTCTGCACTGAAGCTGCCTCGGACTTTACTCTGTTTACTATGAGGAATTAAGTCTGTCAGCAAACAGGACAAGTGTTTCCTGACGCGGGTCTTAGTCATATGATGACCCACAACTGAAGCTTTTGATTATATAACTAAGGCCTTCTGCTGGCTTACCGATCCACCCCTTAACAATTACGGTCAAGGTGACAACCAGTTGTTGCAATATACTAATTTCTTCAACTTGTCAATATTAAGCACTATTGATGTTATTATGTGCGTGATAAATACATAAACGAAGCACGAAACTACACGAAAATTAGGAAGAGAATTTACAAGGAGAGAAAGAAGGGGACAAGACAACTGACAGAGACGTGGGGAAGAACTAAAGTAGGAAGAGAGAAGTCAGAAAGAGAAACAAAGTAGAAAGTGACACACAACAATACAATATATTTATATAGGATAAAATTAATATTCCTTACACAAAATAAAACATTGGAAGGTCTAAAAGAAAGTTACTAATATGGAGAAAGGATACTCGGCTTTACGAAAAAAATAATAGGAATTAAAAATAGTGAATAGAAAGTCAAAATGACATTTCTGAGATCTCTTGAAGCTCATAAAACCGTAATTCAGTAAACTAGCTAACAAAAGTAAACTAATAGGCGTTTCTTTCTTTTTACCAACAGTCTTTACCACACCGGCTGTCAAGATGAAAGCTATCATGGTCTTTGTGACAGCGGCTGTTGTGCTGGCTGCCGCTTATCCACAGACAGGAAGTTTTTTCACAGCTCCAAGCAGTAACACTCAGGCTGTGGGAAGTATTACCAGGCTTAGCACTCAGAGCACAAGCGGTAATACCTCGCCAAGCTCTCAGAGCACAAGCGGTAATACCTCGCCAAGCTCTCAGAGCACAAGCGGTAATACCTCGCCAAGCTCTCAGAGCACAAGCGGTAATACCATCGCCAAGCTCTCAGAGCACAAGCGGTAATACCTCGCCAAGCTCTCAGAGCACAAGCGGTAATACCTCGCCAAGCTCTCAGAGCACAAGCAACAACACTAAGCCTAGCTCTCAGCCTGCAGGCAACAACACCAAGCCTACTCCTCAGTCTACAGGTAACAACACCAAGCCTACTCCTCAGTCTACAGGCAACAACACCAAGCCTTCTCCTCAGTCTACAGGGAACGACACCAAGCCTACTCCTCAGTCTACAGGCAATAACACCAAGCCTACTCCTCAGTCTACAGGCAACAGCACCAAGCCTACTCCTCAGTCTACAGGCAACAGCACCAAGCCTACTCCTCAGTCTACAGGCAACAGCACCAAGCCTACTCCTCAGTCTACAGGCAACAACACCAAGCCTACTCCTCAGCCTACAGGCAACAACACCAAGCCTACTCCTCAGCCTACAGGCAACAACACCAAGCCTACTCCTCAGCCTACAGGCAACAACACCAAGCCTACTCCTCAGTCTACAGGCAACAGCACCAAGCCTACTACTCAGTCTACAGGGAACAACACCAAGCCTACTCCTCAGTCTACAGGCAACAACACCAAGCCTACTCCTCAGTCTACAGGCAACAACACCAAGCCTACCCCTCAGTCTACAGGAAACAACACCAAGCCTACCCCTCAATCTACAGGCAACAACACCAAGTCTACCCCTCAGTCTACAGGCAACAGCACCCGCGCTGTCACCCCACAATCGCCTTCCGACTGTATCCGTAAGTGTTATACGGGCAATGTTAATTACATTTAATTCAAGGTGGATTAAATAGCGAGTCTTGACAATAGTCACACAACACCATTCACACAAGGTTTTATTGGGGCATTAAAACGTTTTACCACTGATACAGTAAAACACTGTTATGTAGTGTTAAATACAGTGACTTAACATTCAGTGATACAATAACACTAGCTCTTAATACAGTGTTGTAGCCTTGTAGTTATTCAGCTCTGTGGTATTGGTACTAGTACACAGTGTTGCGGCCATTCTAGTTATTAAGCTCTGTGGTATTGGTACTAGTACACAGTGTTGCGGCCATTCTAGTTATTAAGCTCTGTGGTATTGGTACTAGTACACAGTGTTGCGGCCATTCTAGTTATTAAGCTCTGTGGTATTGGTACTAGTACACAGTGTTGCGGCCATTCTAGTTATTAAGCTCTGTGGTATTGGTACTAGTACACAGTGTTGCGGCAATTCTAGTTATTAAGCTCTGTGGTATTGGTACTAGTACACAGTGTTGCGGCCATTCTAGTTTTTTAAGCTCTGTGGTATTGGTACTAGTACACAGTGTTGCGGCCATTCTAGTTATTAAGCTCTGTGGTATTGGTACTAGTACACAGTGTTGCGGCCATTCTAGTTATTAAGCTCTGTGGTATTGGTACTAGTACACAGTGTTGTAACCTTGTATTTATTAAGCTCAGTGGTATTGGTACTAGTACACAGTGTTGTAACTTTGTAGTTATTAATCTCAGTGGTATTACTTGGTACTAGTACACAGTGTGATAATGGTAATGACATAATTCCAAACAAACCATACCACGGACGGGGATTGAACTTGCGGTGAGAATCATAAAACTCCTGTCCACTGGACCAGCTAGCCACAATAAGAGTCATCCAACTAGGTATATTTCTACACCATAGGAAGGTTAGCATGAGCCACCACTGTGACCACTCATTGATAAATGTCGGCCACACAGTGTAAAATGTTATCTTTAACATTAGCACACCGTGTGTTACATTAACACACTCAGCACAAGGTGTGCAACAAACACGTGGTGTAACACATGTCACTCAGTAACACCTGGTGCTATCGGTGTTGGCGCAGTGTTTTGATACTAGGTGTAAGCACATGGTGTGTTAAGAAAATAAGAACATAAGAAAGAAGGAACACTGCAACAGGCCTACTGACCCATGCGGAGCAGGTCCATGTCCCCCCCACGGATTAGACCAATGACCCCCCCCCGGATAAGCCCAATGACCCATCCAGTCTGATCATCTCCATTCAAGGATGGAGCACTGCACCAGACCCAGCAGCACAAGCTAGTCAGGTCCAACTCACACCCACTCACACCCACTCATGTATTTATCTAACCTATTTTTAAAAGTACACAACGTTTTAGCTTGAATAACTGTACTCGGGAGTTTGTTCCACTCATCCACAACTCTATTACCAAACCAGTGATTTCCTATATCCTTTCTGAATCTGAATTTTTCCAACTTGAAACCATTGCTGCGAGTCCTGTCTTGACTGGGAATTTTCAGCACGCTATTTACATCCCCTTTATTTATTCCTGTTTTCCATTTATACACCTCGCTCATATCCCCCCTAATTCTACACCTTTCGAGAGAGTGCAGATTCAGGACCCTCAGTCTATCCTCATAGGGAAGATTTCTGATACATAGTATCATTTTTGTCATCCTCCTCTGTACGTTTTCCAGAGCATTTACATCCATTCTGTAATACGGTGACCAGAACTGAGCAGCATAGTCTAAATGAGGCCTAACCAAGGATATATAGAGTTGAAGAACAACCTGAGGACTTCTATTATTTATACTTCTAGATATGAAGCCAAGAATTCTATTAGCTTTATTGCGAACACTAATGCACTGTTGTCTTGGTTTCAGATTACTGCTAACCAGAACTCCTAAATACTTTTCGCAATCAGTAGTATTAAGATCTACATTATTTAGTTTATATGTGGCATGGTTATTTAACTGTCCAACATTTAGAACTTTGCATTTGTCAATAATAAACTGTATCTGCCACTTCTCCGACCATTGCATCAGTCTATTCAAATCATCCTGGAGTGCTCTAGTGTCCTCCTTAGAATGAACTGGACGGCCTATTTTGGTGTCATCAGCAAATTTGCTTATGTCGCTATTTATGCCCTCATCTATGTAGTTTATGTAAATTGTGAACAACAACGGGCCCAACACTGACCCCTGAGGAACACCGCTTGTGACATGCCCCCATTCTGATTTCTCCCCATTTTTGCAAACTCTCTGCTGTCTATTTGTCAGCCATGCCTCTACCCAGGAAAAAATTTCTCCTCCTATTCCGTGTGCCTTAAGTTTCCTCAATAGCCTCTGTGGAACTCTATCGAAAGCCTTACTGAAGTCCATATACACAATATCATATTCATTACCATGATCTACCTCCTCAAACACCTTAGTGGAAAAAGTTAGTAAATTCGTAAGACAGGAACGCCCCTTTGTAAAACCGTGTTGAGATTCATTATTCAATCTGTGCCTGTCAAGATGGCTACGAATTGCTTCGGCAATTATTGATTCCATAAATTTTCCCACTATGAAGGTAAGGCTTATTGGTCTATAGTTCGAAGCCAAGGACCTGTCACCTGCCTTATAAATAGGTATTACATTTGCCATTTTCCACTTATCAGGCACTATGCCAGTTTGTAGTGATATGTTAAAAAGATTAGATAAAGGTATGCTAAGTTCCTCTTTACATTCCTTTAATACCCTTGAAAACAGTTCATCGGGGCCTGGGGATTTGTTAGGTTTTAGTTTCTCTATTTGTCCGAGGACCATGTCACTAGTTACCGCAGTCGTACATAGTTTATTATCATCCTTTTCTACATAATCTATTATTTCAGGAATATCGCTAGTATTTTCCTGGGTGAAAACTGAGAGGAAGTAGGTATTTAGAATTTCACACATATCCTTATCACTGTCAGTGATCTGACCAGAGTTACTCTTAAGTGGGCCAATCTTGTCCCTAATTTTACTTCTGTATACCTGAAAGAACCCTTTTGGGTTAGTCTTTGAATCCCTTGCGACCTTAGCCTCATAATCCCTTTTTGCTTTTCTTATTCCTTTCTTTATTTCTCTCTTTAATTGAATATATTGATTTCTTAACTGCCCATCCCCTCTTTTGATACTCCTATATATGCCTCTCTTTTGACCAATTAGATGTTTTAATCTATTGTTCATCCATTTGGAATCATTTTTGTTAGATCTAATTTCCCTACTCGGAACAAAAGTTGTCTGGGCAGATAGAACTATGCTCTGAAAAACGTCATATTGGCAACCAAGATCACCTACCTGACCCATAGTCAGGACATCCCATTTAGCCCACCCAGGTAATTTTTCAGTCCCATGAAGTCGGCCAAACAAAAATCTGGGACAGAGATTTGATTGCAGTTATCTGGGTAATTCCATGATATATTGAAACTAAGTGATTTGTGATCACTTTCCCCAAGCTCATCATTAACCTCAAGATTATTAATTAGTGAATCTTTGTTGGCAAGAACCAAGTTAAGCAGATTGTTTCCTCTAGTTGGTTCTGTCACAACCTGTTCTAAAAAGCAATCCTGAACCGTATCAAGAAAGTCACTAGACTCAAGATTTCCTGTCATATTGTTCCAATCAATTTATCTAAAGTTAAAATCTCCCATTATCACAACATTTTCATATCTAGATGCCTTATGAATTTCGTCCCATAACAGCTTACTGACCTCCCTTTCAAGGTTTGGGGGCCTATAAATCACATCCAAAATTAATTTGTCTTGTCCCTCGAGAAATTGTAGCCAAACAGATTCTGTGTTCGATGTTTCTAATCTTATATCATGTCTAAGACAACAATTTAAATTTTCTCTGACATACATCGCCACTCCATCACCCTTCCTGTTGACCTTATCAGTGTGGAATAGTTTATAACCCTGTATGTTGCATTCAGAAGGCATTTCTCTATCTTTCAGGTTGAACCAAGTCTCTGTTATACCAATAATACCTATATTACCTACACTTGCAAGTAATCTTAGCTCATCCATCTTATTTCCTACTATTTGTGTAGTAAACCTTAAGGGAGCTAGTCACTCGTTGCCCTCTACTATCTCTCTTTGTTGATCAATTGATTTGCCATTACTAGCAACTTTATTTTGAATATTGTCTTTTAAACTTATCCCTGAGGTATCCCGGTAATAACTGCTGTTTTTAACCCTAATGCTGCAGCCTGATTGTTTCCCCACAAACAACCATACCTCTATAATCTATCAGTTTCTATCAGTTACCCTCTCAATTGAATTGGCTAATGCAACCACTCCATCCCCAGAGAGATGAACCCCATCCCTTGCATACATATCACGTTTGCCAAAGAATAGGTCCCAGTTATCAATGAATGGGAGTGCAAGTTCCTTGCAGTACCTGTCTAGCCAGCAATTTATACCAATTGCCCTAGACATCCATTCATTGCCCACTCCCTTTCTAGGCAAGATGCTACATATGACTGGGATCCCTCCCTTAGATCTAACTACTTCTATGGCTGACCTGTACTTAACCAGTAGCTCCTCTCTCCTGCCCTTCCAAATGTCATTACCCCCAGCACTAAGACAGATAATGGGCTTGTTCCCATTACCTGACATAATATTATCCAACCTGCTGACTATGTCACCAACACCAGCCCCAGGAAGACACACTCTCCCTCTGACCTTTCTGTCCCCGTTACAAAATGCACGGTCCATATATCTTACCTGAGAATCGCCGTTTAAAATATTCTTACCTTGATTAGCAGGGGAATCAGTGGTACCTTCAACTTCACTAACAACTGAAATACACTCGTCTTGGAGAACAGAGAATCGACTTCCTACCTTCCCATCTTCTCTATTAACTCTCATCTTCCTTCTTCCTGAACTGTGAACCACTTGCCACTTAGAGCGGCTGTCACTATCACTGCTGGTGACCATTTCCTCCTTACCAGCTAAAACCTTCTCACACTCACTCCCACACTCATCTATGCGACGCTTCAGCCTCTTATTTTCCTCCTGAAGAAGTAGAATCTCCTTCTTCAACACTTGAACCTGAGATTGTAAAACACTACAACAAGTCATGGTGCTTGGTAACAGCCCATGCTAACTCCCAAGAGCTTAGGACAGGTATGACCGCACGTGACCACTGACCTCAGCGTACTCTCAACACAAGGTGTGCAACAAACACGTGGTGTAACACATAGTCAATCAGTAACACGTGGTGTTATCAGTGTTACCGCAGTGTTTTGATACTAGGTGTAAGCACATGGTGTGTCACAAATTAACACATGGTGCTAACACACAGTGTGATATAATAACACTGTGTGCTAGCAGCAAGTGTTCCTGTATCACACTGTGTGCTAGCAGCAAGTGTTCCTGTATCACACTGTGTGCTAGCAGCAAGTGTTCCTGTATCACACTGTGTGCTAGCAGCAAGTGTTCCTGTATCATACTGTGTGCTAGCAGCAAGTGTTCCTGTATCACACTGTGTGCTAGCAGCAAGTGTTCCTGTATCACACTGTGTGCTAGCAGCAAGTGTTCCTGTATCACACTGTGTGCTAGCAGCAAGTGTTACTGTATCACACTGTGTGCTAGCAGCAAGTGTTACTGTATCACACTGCTAGCACACAGTGTGATACAATAACACTTGGTGTTAGCACACTGTGTTATAGCAACACTTGGTGTTAGCACACTGTGTCATAGCAACACTTGGTGTTAGCACACTGTCATAGCAACACTTGGTGTTAGCACACTGTGTTATAGCAACACTTGGTGTTAGCAGAGAGTGTGGTACAACAATACCTCTCACATATAACCCATAAACACAAGACTGAGACGTATAACGATGTTTGGGTCCGACTTAAACCATGAAGTAGTGAGAGAAGAGCGGAGTGAGCCACAACATATCAGAGGAGGGAAAGCAGGAACGAGAAGGATTAGTCATAGTAGTAGTAGTGGTAGTTAGTAGTAGTAGTGGTAGTTAGTTTTAGTATTGATAGTAGTAGTGGTTTTTAGTAGTAGTGGTATTAGTAGTAGTGGTAGTTAGTAGTAGTGATAGTAGTAGTAGTTGTTGTAGTTAGTTGTAGCAGTAGCAGTAGTGGTGGTAGTAGTAGTAATAGTGGTAGTAGTAGTAATAGTGGTTGTAGTAGTGGTAGTAGTAGTGGTGATAGTGTGATAGTAGTAGTGGTTGTAGTTAGTACTAGCAGTAGTGGTAGTTAGTAGTAGTAGTGGGGGTAGTATTAGTAATAGTGGTATTAGTAGTTGTAGTTAGTAGTAGTAGACGTAGCAATGGTGCAACAGAGACAGAGGTGCCAATAAGAAGACAATAGTGGTAGAGACAATGGCAGCAGATAGTAGAGTGTAAGTGAAGAAACAGTAGTGGTAGTGGAGGTACTCTAAGTAAACACAAGAACACTCCCGTAGAATTAGGGGGGATATGATCGAGGTGTATAAATGGAAGACAGGAATAAATAAAGGGGATGTAAATAGTGTGCTGAAAATATCTAGCCTAGACAGGACTCGTAGCAATGGTTTTAAGTTAGAAAAAATCAGATTCAGGAAGGATATAGGAAAGTACTGGTTTGGTAATAGAGTTGTGGATGAGTGGAACAAACTCCCAAGTACAGTTATAGAGGCCAGAACGTTGTGTAGCTTTAAAAATAGGTTGGATAAATACATGAGTGGGTGTGGGTGGGTGTGAGTTGGGCCTGATTAGCTTGTGCTACCAGGTCGGTTGCCGTGTTCCTCCCTTAAGTCAAGGTGACCTGACCTGACTAGGTTGGGTGCATTGGCTTAAACCGGTAGGAGACTTGGACCTGCCTCGCATGGGCCAGTAGGCCTGCTGCAGTGTTCCTTCGTTCTTATGTTCTTATGTTCAATAATGTTTCTGGAGTCTACTCCATCTCCTGCTTCTCTTCTCCGCTCCAATGCTTTGGAGAACCTGGCCGCTCACTTTCTCTCACACTTAAAAAGAACAAGTATTAGACTTGCCTAAACTAATAGTTATCTTTCCAGTCATGTTAGAGATCACAGTCATCCTATTAACTGGTTCTTTCCTAAAGCTGTTTATCTTTCTAACTTTCACAGACGCCGTCTTCTTGAAACATCCCTCATACACAACTTTCTTAATTTGAATTTCTAGCTTTGTCTCTGCACGTCTTCCTTTCTCATTACATTATCAAATGCTCCAAACTTCAGAACACTCGTGACTTGATCTGATCTTCATTTCCTCCTCCTGGAGTTTACCTGGAGAGACTACCGGAGGTTAACGCGGCTCGGTCTGAGACCAGGCCTCATGGTGGATCAGGGTCTGATCAACTTTTCACCTTTTCTATAATTTCATTGCCTGTTTTGCTTTTTACTTGTGTCCTTTGGGGTTTTTGACCTGCAGGTTTTTTTTGAACATCAAAATGGTATACAATACCGACAGGTTGTTAGATAAGACACATATGCAACAGTTAGACAACTTTATTCCGAAACGTTTCGCCTACACAGTAGGCTTCTTCAGTCGAATACAGAAAGTAGGCAGGAACAGTAGAGATGTGAAGACGATGTAATCAGTCCATCACCCTTGTAGTCGTAGAATTTGAGGTTGTCAGTCCCTCGGCCTGGAGAAGTTCAGTTCCATAGTCAGAAAACACCTTGGACAAGCTTTTCAAGTGAGAAGTGTTGGATCTGAGAGGGACATGACCTCTCAGTGGTTACATTCTCACTACTACTACTACTACTACTACTACTACTACTACTCTGCACCTCTCCTTCCGACAGTATTTAAGTCTCCGCACTGTCGCTTGATCTTCAGATAGTTCCTGACTATGGAACTGAACTTCTCCAGGCCGAGGGACTGACAACCTCAAATTCTACGACTTTAAGGGTGATGGACTGATTACATCGTCTTCACGTCTCTACTGTTCCTGCCTATTTTCTGTATTCGACTGAAGAAGCCTACTGTGTAGGCGAAACGTTTCGGAATAAAGTTGTCTAACTGTTGCATATGTGTCTTACCTAACAGGTTTTCTTTTGTCTTACCCTCATGAGCCATTAGCTCTCCTGTACCTTTGGTCTCTTGTTCCTCACATTACCTCCCCTGCTGTTGCTGCAACTTCTACTACTACTACTGTTTCTACATTCTTATTGCTACTTTTATTACCATTCCACTACTACTACATTACTACTCCCTACTCCCGTTCTACCTCTCCCGTCCCTCGCTCTCCGCTCGTATATATTCTGGATTCCTTTCCCTAGCGCTTCCGTGACCAAAATGTCGTCATCAATTTCAATGTCACTTTTCGGGTAACTTGTGTATTGTTCCACAGTATTGTGCCTTTTAATATTCACTATAACACTTGGTACTATCACATAGTGCAGTTCAGTGTTACTTGGCATTACCACTCTGTGTTACAGTAACACATTGATGTAACACTGAGATATGGTAACAGTTTTAACACATATTGTGATACATTTACGTTTGATGTTGACCTGTAAAAAAAATTTGTTGATACTAACACATTATATATTGCAGAAAAACTATGCAACAACGTTACAACTTGTAAACAATGCGTGGGCAACTTGACTTTGAGTCAAAGTGTCATCAATGACTGTGTAACACTCCCAGGTGAGTTCCTTCAACATCTTTACCGAATACACAGGTGGGTAACACCTATATTTTTAGGTAAGACACATATGCAACAGTTAGGTATCTTTATTTCGAAACGTTTCGCCTACACAGTAGGCTTCTTCAGTCGAGTACAGAAAAGTTGATAAAAGCAGAAGATACTTGAAGACGATGTAATCAGTCCATCACCTTTAAAGTTTTGAGGCGGTCAGTCCCTTAGTCTGGAGAAGAGCTTTGTTCCATAGTATGAAACAATATGGAGAGGAAGTGACAGGATGGAGCCTTATATAGCGCCAAGAGGTGAGACGTAGGTCACTAGAAGAGGTAAGAACTCAGATGTTGGGAGGTCAGGTCCCTCTCAAATCCAGCCGTTCTCTACTAGTGAGAACGGCTGGATTTGAGAGGAACCTAACTGTTGCATATGTGTCTTACCTAACAACCTGTCGGTATTTTATACCATTTTAATGTTCAACCTATATTTTTATCTGGCAAACATCTGTATTACACAGACAAATAACTCCACAAAGTCACATTACACACACACACACACACACACACACACACACACGCACACACACACACACACACAGGTCATTAATTTCAGACTTATATGTGATACTTGGATGTAAGTTAATCATACTTACGTAAGGTGAGTATGAATAACAACGGACATACATCATACACACACATGTATGGGTCACTACAGACATACATCATACACACACAGGTATGGGTCACTAATTCATAACTATTAGCATAACATAAAAAGAACTACTTAGTAATAAATAATAATAATTAATAATAATAATAATAATAATAATAATAATAATAATAATAATAATAATAATAATAATCATAATAATAATAAACTCTTATTTCACAATTCCTGACGCTTAATTAATTATACATTGATGATAATATATAAAAAATATTAATTTATTTTTCTGTTATTCTTCAGCCTGTAACAGCACAACTATAACTTGTCTGGGGAAAGCAAACGTGAAGGTAAGATGACAGTGTTACAGTGATGTCAGTATAGTGTCTTAAATAACAAATGAAGTCACAATACCGTGACTGGAACGATACACAAATAACCCGCACGTAGAAGAGAGGAGCTTACGACGACGTTCTGGTCCGACTTGGACTATTTACAAAGTTACACTAACGAAAAGGAGAGTGGGAGGGGTATATATAGGCAGGAGGTGGAAGTAGTAGTACATAAGAACATAGAGAAGGAACACTGCAACTGGCCTACTGACCCATGCGGAGCAGGTCCATGTCCTCCCCCCCGGATTAGCCCAATGACCCACCTAGTCTGGTCAGGTCATATTCACTTAAGGACGGAGCACTGAACCAGACCCAGCAGCACAAGCTAGTCAGGTCCAACTCACACCCACCCACACCCACTCATGTATTTATCTAAGCTATTTTTAAAACTACACAACGTTTTAGCCTGAATAACTGTACTCGGGAGTTTGTTCCACTCTTCCACAACTCTATTACCAAACCAGTGCTTTCCTATATCCTTCCTGAATCTGAAATTTTCCAACTTGAAACCATTGCTATGAGTCCTGTCTAGGCTGGAAATTTTCAGCACGCTATTTACATCCTCTTTATTTATTCCTATTTTCCATTTATACACCTCAATCATATCCCCCCTAATTCTACACCTTTCGAGAGAGTGCAGATTCAGGGCCTCAGTCTATCCTCATAGGGAAGATTTCTGATACATGGGATCATCTTTGTCATCCTCCTTTGTACGTTTTCCAGAGCATTTATATCCATTCTGTAATACGGTGACCAGAACTGTGCAGCAGTCTAAATGAGGCCTAATCAAGGATATATAGAGTTGAAGAACAACCTGAGGACTTCTATTATTTATACTTCTAGATATGAAGCCAAGAATTCTGTTAGCTTTATTGCGAACACTAATGCACTGTTGTCTTGGTTTTAGGTTACTGCTAACCAGAACTCCTAAATTCTTTTCGCAATCAGTAGTATTAAGATCTACATTATTTAGTTCATATGTCGCATGGTTATTTTCCTGTCCAACATTTAGAACTTTGCATTTGTCAATATTAAACTGCATCTGCCACTTCTCCGACCATTACATCAGTCTTTTCAAATCATCCTGGAGTGCTCTAGTGTCCTCATTAGAATGACTTGTACGGCCTGTTTTGGTGTCATCAGCAAATTTGCTTATGACGCTATTTATTCCCTCATCTATGTCGTTTATGTAAATTGTGAACAACAACGAGCCCAACACTGACCCCTGAGGAACACCGCTTGTGACATGCCCCCATTCTAATTTCTCCCCATTTATGCAAACTCTCTGCTGCCTATTTGTCAGCCATGCCTCTACCCAGGAAAAAATTTCTCCTCCTATTCAGTGTGCCTTAAATTTCCTCAATAACCTCTGATGTGGAACTCTATCGAAAGCCTTACTGAAGTCCATATACACAATATCATCTTCATTACCATGATCTACCTCCTCAAACACCTTAGTGAAAAAAGTTAGTAAATTCGTAAGACAGCAACGCCACTTTGTAAAACCGTGTTGAGATTCATTAATCAATCTGTGCCTGTCAAGATGGCTACGAATTGCTTCGGCAATTATTGATTCCAGAATTTTCCCACTATGGCTTATTGCTCTACAGTTCGAAGCCAAGGACCTGTCACCTGCCTTGTAAATAGGTATTACCTTTGCCATTTTCCACTTATCAGGCATTATGCCAGTTTGTAGTGATATGTTAAAAAGATTAGCCAAAGGTATGCTAAGTTCCTCTTTACATTCCTTTAACACCCTTGCAAACAGTTCATCAGGACCTGGGGATTTCTTAGGTTTTAGTTTCTCTATTTGTCTGAGGACCATGTCACTAGTTACCGCAATCGTACATAGTTTATTATTCTGTTCTACATAATCTATTATTTCAGAAATATCGCTAGTATTTTCCTGGGTGAAAACTGAGAGGAAGTAGGTATTGAGAATTTCACACATATCCTTATCACTGTCAGTGATCTGACCAGAGTTACTCTTAAGTGGGTCAATCTTGTCCCTAATCTTACTTCTGTATACCTGAAAGAACCCTTTTGGGTTAGTCTTTGAATCCCTTGCGACCTTAGCCTCATAATCCCTTTTTGCTTTTCTTATTCCTTTATTTCTCTCTTTAACTGAATATATTGATTTCTTAACTGCCCATCCCTTCTTTTGATACGCCTGTATATGCCTCTCTTTTGACCAATGAGATGTTTTAATCTATTGTTCATCCATTTGGGGTCATTTTTTTTAGATCTAATTTCCCTACTCGGACAAAAGTTGTCTGGACAGCTAGAACTATGCTCTGAAAAATGTCATATTGGCAACCAAGATCACCTACCTGACCCATAGTCACGACATCCCAATTTAGCCCTCCCAGTTAATTTTTCAGTCCCATGAAGTCCGCCAAGCGAAAATTTGGGACAGAGATTTGATTGCAGTTATCTGGGTAATTCATGATATATTGAAACTAAGTGATTTGTGATCACTTTCCCCAAGCTCATCATTAACCTCAAGATTATTAATTAGTGACTCTTTGTTGGCAAGAACCAAGTCAAGCAGATTGTTTCCTCTAGTTGGTTCTGTCACAACCTGTTCTAAAAAGCAATCCTGAACCGTATCAAGAAAGTCACTAGAATCAAGATTTCCTGTCATATTGTTCCAATCAATTTGTCTAAAGTTAAAATCTCCCATTATCACAACATTTTCATATCTAGATGCCTTATGAATTTCGTCCCATAACAGCTTACTGACCTCCCTTTCAAGGTTTGGGGGCCTATAAATCACACCCAAAATTAATTTGTCACGACCCTCGAGAAATTGTAGCCAAACAGATTCTATGTTCGATGTTTCTAATCTTATATCATGTCTAAGACAACAATTTAAATTTTCTCTGACATACATCGCCACTCCACCACCCTTGCTCTTAACCTTATCAGTGTGGAATAGTTTATAACCCTGTATGTTGCATTCAGAAGGCATTTCTCTATCTTTCAGGTTGAACCAGGTCTCTGTTATACCAATAATATCTACATTACCTACACTTGCAAGTAATCTTAGCTCATCTATCTTATTTCCTACTATTTGTATAGTAAACCTTAAGGGAGCTAGTCACTCGTTGCCCTCTGCTATTTCTCTTTGTTGATCAATTGATTTGCTACTAGCAACTTTATTTTGAATATTGTCTTTTAAACATATCCCTGAGGTACCCCGGTAATAACTGCTGTTTTAACGCTAATACTGCAGCCTGATTGTTTCCCACAAACACTCATATCTCTATAATCTATCAGTTTAAATTCCTAGACAAGTCATCAATTACCCTCTCAATCGAATTGGCTTATGCAACCACTCCAGCCCCAGAGAGATGAACCCCATCCCTTGCATACATATCACGTTTGCCAAAGAATAGGTCCCAGTTATCAATGAATGGGAGTGCAAGTTCCTTGCAGTACCTGTCTAGCCAGCAGTTTATATCAATTGCCCTAGACATCCATTCATTGCCCACTCCCTTTCTAGGCAAGATGCTACATATGACTGGGATCCCTCCCTTAGACCTAACTATTTCTATGGCTGACCTGTGCTTATCCAGCAGTTCCTGTCTCCTACCCTTCCCAGTGTCACTACCTCCAGCACTAAGATAATGGGCTTGTTCCCATTACCTGACATATTATCCAACCTGCTGACTATGTCACCAACACCAGCTCAAGGAAGGCACACTCTCTGTCTGACCTTTCTGTCTCTGTTACAAAAAACATGGTTCATATATCTTACCTGATAATCTCCTATTAAAATTTTCTTACCTTGATTAGCAGGGGAATCAGTGGTATCTTCAACCTCACTAACCACTGAAGTACACTCGTCTTGGAGAACAGAGAATCGATTTCCTACCTTCACATCTTCTCTGTTAACCCTCCTTATCTTCCTTCTTCCAGAACTGTGAACCACTTGCCACTTAAAGCGGCTACCACTATCACTGCTGGTGACCATTTCCTCCTTACCAGCTAAATCCTTTTCACACTCACTCCCACACTCATCTAGGCGAAGCTTCAGCCTCCTATTTTCCTCCTGAAGAAGTTGAACCTCCTTCTTCAACACTTTAACCTGAGATTCTAAAACACTACAACAAGCCATGGTGCTTGGTAACACCCCACGCTAACTCCAAGAGCTTAGGACAGGTATGATCGCAAGTGACCACTGACCTCAGCATAGTAGTAGTAGTAGTAATAGTGGAGGTAAAAGGTAGTAGTAGTACTGGGGGAGGTGCGGGTTGTTTGTGTAATATAGTGTCTTCTTTTAGTGAGTACTGTGTCCTTGCTCTTATCTCGTTTGAGCAGTTTCTCCCTTTTTTCTCATTCCAGTACGTTGTTATAGGAGTGTATTAGAGTAGGTCTGAGACTAGTCCCATTAGTACACCTTGTACGTATATAATATGTATCTGTGTCCTTGGCTCTACAGAAAATAAATGTATTATTTTGAGGTATTACCAGTAACTTAAATGATTTATTGGTTCTTTGGAGGCCCCATACCAGGGGTGGGCAACCCTTAGCACGCGTGCCAAACCTTGCACGCCAACAGCTTCTTTCCGGCATGCTAACCTCTGGTCTCATCTCAAAAAAACAAAAAGAAATGCGACATTATCAAGTATCCGTTTCAAGAAAAGCGGGGAAATAGTCCCCATATATTTCCAGAGATTTTGTATCAAAGGTATGCCGGGGAATCACAAATAGGCCCCTGGCTGCCTTCAAGAGGGAGCTGGACAGATACTTAAAAGTCAGTGCCGGATCAGCCGGGCTGTGGTTCGTACGTTGGACTACGTGCGGCCAGCAGTAGCAGTCTGGCTTGATCAGGCCCTGATCCACCGGAAAGCCTGGTCGGGGACCGGGCCCGGGGGGCGTTAATCTCCGGAACATCCTCCAGGTAGACTTTGGCACGCACACTTACAAAGACTGCCCACCCCTGCCTCATACGGTTTCTGTTCCAGCTGTGATTGCCTGGAATGGAGTTGTCAACACTCGACAGTACTCAGCTAGAGAATCCACTGTAATTTCCAGGCTCTAAATGAACGAAATATTTGATATGTTGATATTTGAGATGCTACGGTCGTGTGACCAAATGAATTTATTGTTTATCAATTTTCTCGAGTTATTCATTACTGACGCTATCATTTCTTCTCACTTAAATGTAATTATAATGAAATTATTTCCACAGGCTCCTTCGTGTTTCCAAACAACTGGGTAGTGAGACGTCAGCCTACTGTGGACCCGCTGGCTATACACCTGTCGAACACATGTTGACGACCCATCTGGCCACTATAGATGGCGACCCACCTGCCCATAAGATGACGACCCACCTGCCCACAAGATGACGACCCACCTGCCTACAAGATGACGACCCACCTTCCCACAAGATGACGACCCACCTGCCCACAAGATGACCCACCTGTTCACAAGATGACGACCCACCTATCCACTGTAAGATGACGACCCTCCTGCCCACAAGATGACCCACCTGCTCACAAGATGACGACCCACGTACCCACTGTAAGATGACGACCCACCTGCCCACAAGATGACGACCCTCCTGCCCACAAGATAACGACCCATCTGCCCACAAGATGACGACGATCCACCTGTCCACTAGAAGATGATGACCCACCTGCCCACAAGATGACGACCCACCTGCCCACAAGATGACCCACTTGCCCACAAGATGACGACCCACCTGCCCACTGTAAAATGACGACCCACCTGCCCACAAGATAACGACCCACCTGCCCACAAGATGACGACCCACCTGCCCACAAGATAACGACCCATCTGCCCACAAGATGATGACGATCCACCTGTCCACTAGAAGATGATGACCCACCTGCCCACAAGATGACGACCCACCTTCCCACGAGATGACGACCCACCTGCCCACAAGATAACGACCCACCTGCCCACAAGATGACGACCCACCTGCCCACAAGATAACGACCCATCTGCCCACAAGATGATGACGATCCACCTGTCCACTAGAAGATGATGACCCACCTGCTCACATGATGACGACCCATCTGCCCACAAGATGACCCATTTGCCCACAAGATGACGACCCACCTGCCCACAAGATAACGACCCACCTGCCCACAAGATAACGACCCACCTGCCCACAAGATGATGACCCACCTGCCCACAAGGTAACGACCCACCTGTTCACAAGATAACGACCCATCTACCCACAAGATGACGACAACCCACCTGTCCACTAGAAGATGATGACCCACCTGCCTACAAGATGACGACCCACCTTCCCACGAGATGGCGACCCACCTGCCCACAAGATGGCCCACCTGCTCACAAGATGACGACCCACCTACCCACTGTAAGATGACGACCCACCTGCCCACAAGATAACGACCCACCTGCCCACAAGATAACGACCCATCTGCCCACAAGATAACGACCCACCTGCTCACAAGATGACGACCCACCTACCCACTGTAAGATGACGACCCACCTGCCCACAAGATAACGACCCACCTGCCCACAAGATAACGACCCATCTGCCCAAAAGATAACGACCCACCTGCCCACAAGATGACCCATTTGCCCACAAGATGACGATCCACCTGCCCACAAGATAACGACCCACCTGCCCACAAGATAACGACCCACCTGCCCACAAGATGATGACCCACCTGCCCACAAGATGACGACCCACCTGCCCACAAGATAACGACCCACCTGTTCACAAGATAACGACCCATCTACCCACAAGATGACGACGACCCACCTGTCCACTAGAAGATGATGACCCACCTGCCTACAAGATGACGACCCACCTTCCCACAAGATGACGACCCACCTGCCCACAAGATGGCCCACCTGCTCACAAGATGACGACCCACCTACCCACTGTAAGATGATGACCCACCTGCCCACAAGATAACGACCCACCTGCCCACAAGATAACGACCCATCTGCCCACAAGATAACGACCCACCTGCTCACAAGATGACGACCCACCTACCCACTGTAAGATGACGACCCACCTGCCCACAAGATAACGACCCACCTGCCCACAAGATAACGACCCATCTGCCCACAAGATAACGACGACCCACCTGTCCACTAGAAGATGATGACCCACCTGCCCACAAGATGGCGACCCACCTGCCCACAAGATGACAAACTTGCCCACTAATGACGACCCACCTGCCCAGTGTAAAATGACGACCCACCTGCCCACTGTAAAATGACGACCCACCTGCATACAAGATAACCACCTGCCCACAAGATAACGACCCACCTGCCCACAAGTTGACGACCCACCTGCCCACAAGATAACGACCCACCTGCCCACAAGATGACGACCCATCTGCCCACAAGATGGCGACCCACCAGCCCACTATAAGATGACGACCCATCTGTCCACTACAAGATAACCCACCAGCCCACAAGATGACGACCCACCTGCCAACAAGATGACGACCCACCTGCCCACTACAAGATAACGACCCACCTGTCCTCCACCTGATGTGTTAATTTCCCAAGATATTCATCTCCTAAGATAAATTACATTAAACAAGCATAATTAATTTGAATCACAATAAATCTGAAGCATAATAACAAAACTTTTAATAATTAGAGAAAAAGATAATGAGGACATATTAAAAATAACTAAAATAAGGAGAATACTTGATAACAGATAAGAAATCAGTTGCTATCAGCAATATTGACACTTTTTAAACAAGGTATATTTTCTTAAACAAGGTATATAATACCTTCAAGGATATATTCACTGAGCGTATATACATTGATATAGGTTCCCGTTATGTACATATATAGGCTATATATGCTATTCCAGGAATTATTCTTGCCCGGTGGTTAACAGGCGATATACAGCGTTAACAGCGCTCCTGTTGTTAAGTGGCTTCAGCCTCAGTTAACCAATACTTATATATGTATACAAGAGAGGTCCAATTAACCAACCAATACTTGCATATGTATACAAGAGAGGCCCAATTAACCAACCAATACTTGCATATGTATACAAGAGAGGTCCAATTAACTAACCAATACTTGCATATGTATACAAGAGAGGTCCAATTAACCAACCAATACTTGCATATGTATACAAGAGAGGCCCAATTAACCAACCAATACTTGCATATGTATACAAGAGAGGTCCAATTAACCAACCAATACTTGCATATGTATACAAGAGAGGTCCAATTAAGCAACCAATACTTACATATGTATACAAGAGAGGTCCAATTAACCAACCAATACTTGCATATGTATACAAGAGAGGCCCAATTAACCAACCAATACTTGCATATGTATACAAGAGAGGTCCAATTAACCAACCAATACTTGCATATGTATACAAGAGAGGTCCATATTAACCAACCAATACTTACATATGTATACAAGAGAGGTCCAATTAACCAACCAATACTTGCATATGTATAACAAGAGAGGTCCAATTAAGCAACCAATACTTACATATGTATACAAGAGAGGTCCAATTAACCAACCAATACTTGCATATGTATACAAGAGAGGTCCAATTAAGCAACCAATACTTACATATGTATACAAGAGAGGTCCAATTAACCAACCAATACTTGCATATGTATACAAAGAGGTCCAATTAAGCAACCAATACTTACATATGTATACAAGAGAGGTCCAATTAACCAACCAATACTTACATATGTATACAAGAGAGGTCCAATTAACCAACCAATACTTACATATGTATACAAGAGAGGTCCAATTAACCAACCAATACTTACATATGTATACAAGAGAGTTCCAATTAGCCAAACAATACTTACATATGTATACAAGAGAGGTCGAATTAACCAACCAATACTTACATATGTATACAAGAGAGTTTCAATTAGCCAATACTTACATAACAGTTCCAAAATACTTGGAAAAACAGGGAAAACAACAGAATGGCGATACACAGACTAATAAATTTTCCCATATATTTTTTTTGTATATAGTTAATACGACACGAAGTTATAACATCTTAATAAATTTATCAAATACTGCCACTGATAGTAACAAAAATATTGCCACTGATAGTAACAAAAATATTGCCACTGATAGTAATAAAAATAAATTTCCACTGATAGTAACAAAAATATTGCCACTGATAGTAATAAAAATATTGCCACTGATAGTAACAAAAATATTGCCACTGATAGTAATAAAAATATTGCCACTGATAGTAACAAAAATATTGCCACTGATAGTAACAAAAATATTGCCACTGATAGTAACAAAAATATTGCCACTGATAGTAATAAAAATATTGCCACTGATAGTAACAAAAATATTGCCACTGATAGTAATAAAAATATTGCCACTGATAGTAACAAAAATATGCCACGATAAAAAAAAATATTGCCACTGATAGTAACAAAAATATTGCCACTGATATAA